AAAAAAAAGAAAAAGAAAATACAAATAGAGTAATAAAAGTGAAAACCACTTAAAGATAATATTTTGAATTTATTTAATTTTAAAAACTATTGTGTTGAGACTAAGCAAAAGAAATAAAAAATAGTATCACACATAATGAAGGAGACAAGAATAAAAGATTTTGCTTCATCTATGCAAACTTTCTCAGCATATACATAATAAACCTATCACCACATAAGGGACAACTATACTTACACTATAAACTCCAAAATATACCATAGGCCTTCCATACAAATGTATTCAAATATAAAATGATGTCTTGTCTTCTTATAAGCTACTTTATCTTACATGTTTTACTAACATAACAAAATTTATATCTTTAGCCACCTTCACAAAACTAACCTCCTAGAAGTTTCATCAAAGTCATTGCAGTCTCAGTCTAAGGTCTTTGACACTTAGCCTTTGTTTTGTATTCTTTTTACCATGCAGCAGGTGTAGGAAGAACCTCCTTAGGCACATAAATCAAATTACCCTTTCTTCCTCCTCCACCTCTATAGTTTCTTCTTCCCCTATTCACATTATTCTCATTATTGTTACCATTATATGCATGAGGGGTTTTAGACCAAGCATTGTTTTCTCTCCTTCTGTAATGGCCATCACATGTTCCCCAATTGCCATATCCACCACCGTTTCTTCCTCTTCCCATTTTGTTCATGTCACCACCACCATAGTTTTCCCTATGATTCCACCCCCAAGAATCATTCTTCCAACCCTGCAATTCGACTTCTTTTGCAGGGTCGGCATGATCCTGTTGTCCAGATTCTACTTCAATGTTTTCATGCAGGTTTGTCCCCCAGCATGTGATAGCAGTAGTTGGAGCAGAAGGTTTTGGCTGTTCCTCTTCATCGTCCCCCCATCCAGTACATGGAAGCTTCTGATCATTTAAGTATAGAGCACCACCAATAATCACAACATCTTGATCATTTCTTACCACTCCCTTACAAGGGACTCTTAATGCTTCTCTTTCCAAATCCAGAATAAGTTCAGGGTCAACAATTGCATTCCAATCTACATTATCGATGTAAATGTCTGGATCAGGCAACGATACGGTGCAGGGAATGCCGTTGATGTCAGCCCAATACTTCCTTTTTGCATTTTCAAATGCTTCCTTGCCAGCAGAGTCATCCCAGTTCACCACATTATCAAACAGATGCATATATTGCTTGGTTTCTACAATCTTTCGCCATGGAACTGAGCCAATTGAAGAACAAAATTTCTTTTCCCAGGCAGGCATGTTTGAATGGTAATTGTCTGAACCAAGAAAATTAAGCAGATCAGTTGACAATAAAAGGAAACTCCTACCATCATGGCCAAATCACATAACAGATGGTGTTGCAGTCTAAACAAAATAAAAACACCAGGAAAGACAGTAAATAATATGTAAAATCTCATGCAAAAGAACTGTCTTACCCTTCATGCAGTTCAGATATGATACTAATACATTCTCAATTTCTTTTTTTGCAATTACCATGCTAGTACTTTAACACATTTTAAAGGAAAGCAAAAGTTGTGAGAAACCATTATACTCTCATCATGAAATATTCAATTAATAACTACTAACATTTGCCAAAATCAACAGTTTCAATTCAAACTTGAGATGATAGAGATTTTAACTAACCAAGGATCAATAACTACATTACTCTTTCAATAATTGAATTGTGTAGGTATTGCTTCAAACAGTCAAATATGTATCCAAAAGATTCCATTAATATATACTTTGACGGTTTCAATTTAGAACACAACATACAAAGTTATTAAAAAAATGGAGATTCAGTTATGTTTGCAGTACTTGGATTTCACTTAAATAATACCATGCATAATTGGATGGATGAGTCTAAAGATATTTTTTAGAAATTGCCAAAATCAAGACATTTTCAGTTTCAGAACATGACAGAAATCATAATTGCTACATTTGTAAAAGAGACTATCATAGGAATAGTTTAGACTAGGCTTCGACAATCTGATAATGTGACGTTTTATCATACAGCACACCAGTTTGGGCTCAAAGCACACAAAAATTATAACATACAGAACTTGCCTGGATCCACTACAAAAGTATAGTTAGTAATGCATGTTAAACCAGTCCATTTAAATAATTCAATGACATTGGAACCGATCAATCTATTGGCCATGCAAAGCATCAATACCAACAAACTACGACACAACAACCTACCAACCAAAGATATGACAGCACTTTATAACCTTAGAGGTCATCCCTTTGATAATTGAAGCTCATAGTTACTTTCAATGACAAGTAAATGAAACCTAAACCCTCCATCATAACCCTTAACTTCACCCTTTAGCACACAACACAAACCCAACATTGAATAATCAAGCTCTAAGCCTTCAAACACAAAAGAGGCAGGGTTTCACAGCGGCCCAATCAAATCACTCCTCACTCAACTAAGTAAATTGAATATAAGTTTCACAATACATTTAACAAATGAAAACTCCAATACATACCTGTATCTAACTAAAGCTAGTTCCTAGAAACACACGACTAGGACAAAATTAGAACTCCATCACACAGCAAAGAAAGGCAAATGAGCCATGATTACTGAAAACCGACCATTTTCAAAAAAGGGAACCCCACTTTTCAAACCAAAACCCCAATTATAATCACTAGAAAGCAGCGTCATCATAAAACGTGCAACAATTGTAACCCAGTTTTCAAAACGGTATGAAAACGAAGAAAAAGGAAAAAAGAAAACACCAAAAGAGTAATCCATGCAACAAGAATTAAACGCGGGTTCAGAACCCAAACGAAGAAAAAGAAAAGTGTACTAACCCAAAGGAGGCTTTCTGCTGTTGGAATAGGATCGCAAGTGAGCCACTTGATGATGACTCTCACCTTGTTGTTTTCTCCAATTAGCCATTCCCAGACCCAAAAAGCGAAGGACCCAGAAGAGGAAATTGGAAAGCTTCGGTCGCAAGCAGGGCAGAGGCACAATATAAGAGAAAATTTCCAAACTTTGGCAAAAGGGAGAAGCGGGCACGGATTTCACGAATTACCTCAGCAGAGAGAGAAAGAGAGATAAAAGAGAGTTACCCGTATCTATATGTGTGTATGGAGACACCAGCACATGAGACGAAGAAAGCAACCAAGAAAAGGATGATTGATTGATGGCAGAAGAAAAGGTTGAAGAAGAAGAACATGAAATTAAGGATGTCTATAGAAGGAACATTAGAATGAAAGCAGGAATGAAAGAATGAATATGTGTAATTGTGAATGGACCCCAGACAGAGGAATAGCTCTGAGGTTTCTTGTCACGCCTTGGAAGCAATTCCTTTGAAGTGAGACCCTATCATATTCGCTTCTCTATTTATAGCACATGGTTTTCTTTCTCCTTTGTTTTGTTTCAGTTTCATGAATCATCTTCTTTCTTATTTTATTTATTTATTTATTTCTTTTATCACCTT